TTGATATAAGTACTTATACTCCAAAACAAACACAACAATTGTCAAGACGAGGAAGGTATATGAATTGTAATATGTCCTTTGATTTGGTATTTTAAGAAATGAACATATAGTATAATCTAATAATAGTTCAATCACTGGCCATTTGGGGCATTGACATAGATAATGCGACGTGGCTGCCTTGTTTATTTGCGTTAGATCGGTGAAGTATTAGAAATATTATAAATATAAGTATGTCAGTTTGACTTTGAACTGTTACATCATCGGTGTGGAACATAAACAATATGGTCATGATCACAAATGTCATCGGCGCTCATTGTGTTTTACAATTCGATTACCTATCAATATTGGTTGCTGTGGCATTGTGTGATCGAGATGACCTGGCACTTTGTGAGTGCTGTTCATTTCAATATCAGTATGGAATCTAGACAGTAGGCATAAAACAAAGCTGAAACAAAACTTCATGGCGTGCATGGATAAATGAAATTACATAAAAAAGAAAATGTCATAGATGTGTTAGATGTACCTATCACTAATTGTAATTATATATAAAATAAACAGCGTTGCTGGTGGAATCGGCTTGTTAACACTTAACTTAATTTTTCTGATGAAGAGATGATAATATACTCAGATGTAAGAATATATAGATGTAGAAAACATTCAATAGCGACATCGCATACAATTTATGTAGACTTTTGTGTAAAATAAGATACACCTGTACATAAAATCGACCTTTCAATTCACGGGGTCACCATCAAACCATTATATATATATCCCCACAATGTAAACGTTTCAAAGGGAAATTCACGGTACAGTATCCAGGGAATGCAAACACACAAGGTATGTTGAGTAAGAGGAACACGCACTTAACGCGGTGTGTTCGGCATAAATATGCATACAGTATCACCACTGCAGGGTACTTTAGCAGCTTACGTTTCACCTGGCAGGACGGCGTAAATGGTTTCCCAAGAGTATTGTAAATTGTATGTATATGTACCAAGTAGCCCACGAAGAAGAACAACTCATTTATATTCACAAGGCATCGCATCGAAAGGTATCTCATCAAGTCAACAACGTAATCAAGTTAATATTTCATCACAAATGCATCTCCAGTACTATGTAATGATTGAAACTATTGAAACAAGACTGATGTTTAAAGCAATTACTGAAGCAAATAATACACGGTGGTAGGATTTCCACTTCATTTACTTGATTCCTGAACGGATTCGTGTTACATTTACATCCCGGTGACAAGTGCGAGTTTCTCGCCCTTTACGTCTGATTCAATCGATGTAAATAAAAACCGAGCACGTTATTCGTGTCTGCATCTGAACATTGTTTATGCCGTTTAGTTCAAGGTTTACGAATATCTGAGTACCCAAACACAAATGTGTTACTTCTTAAAACAGTTGATATGTAGACGTATTGTATATGTACCATTATAGTTATCTGAGTGTGTGTTTTGAATCAGTATTGGACAGTCACTTCGGTGTATCTCAACATCTACATACATACAGCGAAGGCCATCCCTTCATGTATCACCTCATACTGTAGTCATACTGTAGATATTGAGAAAATATCGTCATCGATAAATTATTCAATAATCTTGGGGTAATACACAAAGTATATATTTAAAATTGCCGCTGATTTATTTTGAAAATAGACATGATCGCTGATTATGGATGTGTGGTATTACCGTGTTTTTTGGGGGTAACGTGAAGCATAATTTGAGGGACTGTGTTAGAATTATTGATTCAACTATTCCCCTATGTATCACAGATGGTAGTACCGTTGTATCGCAGCACATCTTTTTGAAAAGTTTGACAGTTTAATTTTAGAACATAACTTACACAATGAAAACCAAAACTCAACAAGTTTGAAAACAATATGGACAATTGTAATACTGTGGATTTTCTTCTATTTTACGTGTTATTATTCACAAGAAAGCTGTCGCCTTCACGGTTGTGTAATTGAATTCAATGTTGTATTTTCTGTAAGTTTATAACCACTTTATTGGTTGAGTATTATTAAATTAGATAGTCTATTAAATTATGCTGACTATTAAGTTAGAATTTCTTGTCGGTATTGTCGGTATATATTAGCTGTTTCTTGAACATTTCTTTATAGTTTTAACTGCAATTCAATTAACCGTACATGCAAACTCACCAATATGTCGGCGAATTTCACAGTCAAAACTGATCAAGGTAACTACATGGGATTTTTACGCCGAATGGCCATTAGATTACATACGGTGAGGGGGGTCCGTAATCCCGTAGAAAGAGTAGTTTCTATTCATCAGTGCTACTGTTCGGTGTACCAATGCGTTGTTATTTTTGTCCGTAGCTTTACTACAGTGTAACATTGTAACCCTTCTTTCCGCAACGCCCATATCCACTAAACAGTGAGCTATTTTCACCACAAACGACAATCATCTATTAATCTCCACAGTGTAAAATAACATACTGCAACACGATGTTTACATTTAACGTTTACAATGCCGTCTTTTGAGAGTGTTTCCACTGCTGTGAATAATATCAATAGACGATACAATCATGACCAATATTTGACCTCGACTTCGAAATAACATTATTTCTATCTAAGTGCATGTAAATATCTTCAAACACTCTAGAAGAAACGCAGCTGTGATTGTCAATAGTATTTAACAATGCGAGAAAAGTGTATAATATATCGATAGTTTTAGTTTTTGTGCTTTTATTAGGAGTGATTATGTTTTGAATGTGTAAATAATGAATATCACCAGATACAAAGCGTGCTTATGTATAAATACGACGTATGCCGCTTAACGTAAACGTTCACCGGGGTAACACTTTAGGATATAACGTGATTGGTTTCCATGTTTGCAGATTATGCATCGTTAGTCCAAATTCTAAAACGAGTTTGCTAAAATTTACCCGTTATTGGTTTAACTGTGCTTAGGTATTTCGTGAACAAACACAGGAATTTCAACAACTGCGTCTTTTTGTCAGTTCTTCTTTGTGTACTCTGATACACAAATATTCGATTCGTTCACATACTGCGTGCGAATCAAATCAACTGGAAATACGATATTAAAACGTTAAAAAGTAAAAGTGAAATTAAACGTTGTCTATAGCTTAACCTGCGGGGAGTCGCAGACTGAATAATATTAATTGGGTAATACCACTTGTGTGTCGCCAGAAGTACCAATACACTTATTTAAAAAATACAGGGATTAATGGCAACAACCGACGGGAATTCGCAGTACAATTACCGTGCCTAATATAAGGGACGTTCTTGCCATATGCTGCAGAATTGAGGTCTTATAGAAAATGTGAATTGATTAAACAGCAATGAAAGCTGGGTTTAATTGACCCCCCGACACCTGAATATAGTATTATCTAAAGATAGCTACATATACGTAGTAACCAATTAACGACCAGGGAAATATTGATCCTATACTAAGACGTTATTGACTGGAATCTCAACAGTCTGTGCCCATCAAAAAGCATACACTGGTATCAATGCCTCTTCTTGGCCTGATAGGCAGATACATAAATGTGTGCCTGTGTATATTGCGCGCAGGAAATTAATTTGAATATTAAAGAAATAACACACTGTTTCAGTAACAATGTTTGCGAGTGTTTATCATGGCATTTAATATCTCGTAATTATGTCCGGCAATGTTTGCCGTATTCATTGTTTGTGGTAAAGTTCGTCTCGGTGAATGAATACCATAGATGATTATGATAGAATAATTGAGTTTTGAACTAATGAATTGGCCGCTTTCTTTCCGCCGTCTTCTCGGACGTTCGAATGTTACCGTCGAATGGTTCATTTTGTTCTCGTACGCGAATTCCTAATTAATTCTTCGGCAACAGTCGGTGTTAATCGGTTCCACAATATCACGGCTTAATGCGACGTTGGCATAACCTATAGAATGAACAGTGACAACCAGTGGTGATCGCAAATAAAGGTAAAGAACATACTGTAATAGTCATAACAACCTAATCCCAGAGCGTAGGACGACCAATTCCTTATTGTCGGTGTTCAATACTATCGTATACGCCGTGTAGAAAATCCTGCTGCAGTACAAACCGTCGGTACAACATACCTACACATAGTAAACACCCCAGTACGTATGATGATTGGTGTTTGCGTACAACAATACAGTTGATTTAAACGATGCACAGTATTCCCAAACAAAATTACAGCAATATTTGCACTTACAATTTGAACATTTTCTGTTCAACAAATTCACAAAAATTACAAATGTTAAATACATGTTTACTTTTTATTTGGTTTTAGAAAATGGGTTCTTCGGAAAATAGCGTTTCAACTTTCACTTTCACACGCGCCACATCTAGAAAATGTTTTTACAAACTCGACATAAAGACCGAGGCTGGAGTCAATATTTATATTAAAGTGATGATCGTCGCGCAGCGCGTGTTCGAAGTCCATGTCAATAATGTATACGTCGCTATGTTTCCCCTCATCGAACAGGACGCGGCACGGCAACGACCGCCGCCATTCAATAAACCAAATAAATAAAAAGTAGAAGGCAGCAAATTATTTCTTGGCTCAGTTTTTAAAATTACAGCATTCAGGATATTCTTTTTATATTTCATAATCCTCTCCAAATATACTGTCACATATTTTTACATAGTTATAAACGAGTTAAAGGCGAATGTATGACAGAAGCCGCCATGTGACGAGCGCGCAAACGAACGAACAGGCAATAAAAAAACGTGTCCATTTATTCTAATAATCGACAAATCCTGAAATATGCCATGTGAAATAATGACGTGCGTAGTGTGCTGACTAGGGACCGATGGGGAATACTACCATGTTGTTCAGTAATTATTGAACACTTACAAGTAATAAGTAAAGTAAGTAAAGTCTGCCCAAGTAATGTACAACACCCTGATGAAGAGAACATGTGACAGTTGTTTGAACTGTTTACATATTAGAGGTAATCCACCCAGGAAACGCCGAGAAACATCGATATGAAAACAATCTACTAGTATTTAGACAACCTGAAAAATCGGCGCCAACGCAAAAGCTGAACCGGCGAATGCGCGAATCTGGTTGGACGATAGGGCTATGATATATAATAATATAGAAGTCACATTATGAGAAAAACTATAAAGTTTGGACGGTTTTCTTCAAAGAAACAATAACATACGCGAACAAAACAACTAAATTAAAACATAACAAAGATAATAATATGCAACATGACTTACTTCTGGCGTAAGAAGACACTGTTTTCATGAGTTGTAGCATTTCTTCGTCACTGGATTGCCTGGTGTAAGATTCAAATCTTCCGACTGTGAAGTTGTGCTCTTCAGCAGTAATATTGATGCCCTCCACGGCTGCCAGAAAAAGAACGTTACTTTCCATGATGTACCCTATCCTACTCCAACCAAAAGATTCGAATACCTCAACTGCGATATCACCAACGGATTTGAAGTCACCTAGCGTACGTATCATGGTTGGCCAACCGAAATAGTTCTTCCAGCTGTACATTTCATCGGTACACCCAGCACACATATACGGCAAATCCCAGTGTGCGGACAACGAGGCTATAGGTTCCGCCTCTTCGTTACATGTAGGCCCGATCAGAGCCGTGTAGTTTCCTGGATAGACAAGATCGACGATATTCGCTAGAGTCGGCGCTAGACGGCAGTTCGTCTCTAATATTTCGTAGGTCAGACGGTCGCCCGGTAACATATTGGGGTCGGCGTTGATATCGTCGAAACCGATCATGTAGGCTGCGGCGATTCCTTCTTTGCCATTTAACATTCCTGGAGGATTTGTCATTGGGTAGGACAACAACACATTATAATCCACACAACAAACCAGTGTGTAAGCATGAAGGCTTATAAGTAACAATAATTCTAACCCAGTCATCTTTAGATTCGATATTTGTAGTTCCATGAAATCAGCATAAATTTAAATAGCCGACGTTGCAGTAATCTAAAAAAACTACCAATCTGAAAGTAAAACATGTAATCTGTAAATACGAGTAAGTTGACCTTGGTAATGAACGTTTGCGTGATTTGGCATGGATGAAACAGATAAAAGGTTCAGTTGATAATTGTACGTGATTTGTTATGGAGGTAATAGTTGTTCGTCTGACCCAGGTCATGATTCCCATCTGTTGATTCTATATAGTGTGTACATGCCCGTAAATATTTTGTACCGTGTGTGTCGTTGTCACATCCTGTTTTGGGGTACCGCAGGTAAACTAGGCTATTGAAACTCGTTATGTTGTTGGGGTGTCGTAGAATTGAGGGATAATGCCATGCACTATGCACTACAAGTTATGTGGTACAAGCTACGGTGTTGTGAATAGTTGTGAATAATCTTTACTGAAACTGCATTCCAGAGTGTAATCATGATCCAGAGGATAATAATGTAACGACTACAGATAAAACAGCACTGAAAGACTGAAAACAAATCAATAATAAGAACATAGCATAGCATAGCATAGCATAGCATAGCATAGCATAGCATAGCATAGCATAGCATAGCATAGCACAGCACAGCACAGCACAGCACAGCACAGCACAGCACAGCACAGCACAGCACAGCACAGCATAGCACAGCACAGCACAGCACAGCACAGCAATACAATACCTTAAAGGTGTTATTAACTTTTTGAACCACATCGTGGTTCCACATTGCACATTCGACCAATCGGCCTGTCAGTAATTTGATGAGGAGTTTATACAAACGGGAGATTTAGTAAAATCAGTCAAAATACGATTCATATCTCTATTTTTCGTGGTAGATTTGCCTGGTCATCTTTGCTTTACGATTTGACTTAACATAAATTATTCGATTTTCAGCGAATTTACTATTTAACTGTATGTGTGCCAATTAACAATTACAACACAAATGTAGTTGAATGAATTTCCTATATAAGTATGTGTCTCTATGTTTTCACTCAAGCCCAGTCACAATTTATTTTCTCAGGCGGTTCAGTGTTTCATCGTGTAATACGAGATGATTTACTTTATAAGGTGTACGCACCTGAATACAGAATTAGCATCACTGATTTCTAACAGTATCTTAAATAGACTCTGTGTTGAAAACAGAGAGAAAACAAGATCTTGGGACAAAAAAAATTGAACTAGTAAACCTAATATCGTGTATTTTATTTTAAGTATTTTTACGAACACACTATATGTAATTCATTTTCCTTTATGAACAATACCTCGTGTGTAAATAAAGTTTGCTTTTCATTATTTGCTAATTGTGAATAATTAACCTCGCTTGTTAATTGCTAATATATTGAGGGAATTACAGGAGTCAGACCATACGTCCTCGTTGGGTATTAACCAATTTATATGTGGTTTCTAATGAAATAGACGGTTGGGTGCGTGGTTGTTGATGTTGTTGTAAGCCACCGCCTTCAAATTCCCGCTCGTTAGTTGCACTTCACTGTTCGGCATATTGAAATTTCCACTCTACTATCCACGTAATTATCAATCTTATTAACAATGAATTGATAGACAATGTATGTCGTTATCAGATTGACGTTTCTTGGTTATTAGTTCTAAAAATACTAGATTGTCGAATTTGCATTTATATCTTTTACATATGCAATGCCTTGTATTCAATGCACATCTTCGTTCGCGACGAATAACACCGTAGCGTTGTCGGTGTGCGGTGCACTAGTCAAGATTTTGCCCTATGGTGTGATGTTACTAAACCACGATATATTGATATCTCTGTTATGGTAGGATAATTGGATAGCTAATTAAAATGCTTGTTCAAAGTATCCGTGTATGTTATTCCCCAGGCAGTAGACCGGAGTAAGATTGTTTCATTGTTATACTGGATTGTGCGTAGACAGTGACGCAAAGGTAAAACACGTATGATGAAGTAATCTGTTTCAGCGTGCGATTTAAATAAATAACTTACGTTGATAAACATGTGTTTTTATTTCAATCGCTGCCAGTGTGTGTTGTAACAAACATTATTTACATCGATCTACTTATTCATTCGCACCATTTATGTTAGACCTGATCAAGCAAAAAAGCAATCGATTTGATGAAAACACATTTTGGGGAAAATACGACGGGTTATCGAGCATTCTCTATAACGTTGTTTTGTTGTTGTTGTTGTTCTTGTTGTTGTTCAAATCAGAAAGTTGTTTATATGTTGATACATTCAGTATAATGTTTGAACGCTGGTTATAGTATTTTCCTATTAACACGTATTCCGTATTCATATATTCTTCACGCATGATTAGTATTTAATTGTTTCAAATTATTGAGCGTGTGTCGTTTCCTATGCTTTATAGCTGACGTGACGGGTTTCTTATATATCTGACGTACACATTGGTATTTTCAAATTCAGTAAATATTCTACATTACCCTAGCCAACACCTCAACCACGGTTGTTTTGAAGCACCACGGCCAATGAACGTCAGCGTTCAATGTGGACATTCTTCACTATCTTGATAGAGTGTTCCGATACATTGGTGACATATGCAAGTATCGTAAATAGACTCACCTTGTCACTGGTACTGTTAAAATTCACCGATGTTCGCCGTAATTAATAATATAAAACAGTTTTTAGAAATAGAAGCGAGGCATATAATAGAGCTGTATGCGATTATCCTTCTGGGCGAACCAAAAGTCATTAACTTAACAAAAAGTCTCAAAACGTGTACTTATACGGTCATATACACAAGAATGTTTCCTCGGAAGCTCAGGGACCGTGATGTATTCTTGAGCTCTACTGGACTTCCCTCTCAGTTGACGGCAAGTGTCAGTAAGTAGTTGTAGAGTTTTACGGATGCCGTGAGATGTTGTCACAAGACACTTTAATAGACTGACGCGCTCTTATGTGGTATACCCTATGACAGAACGTGCAACGCACAGATATTACATTTGGATGTAACCATTCCTGTTAAGGGGGTGATCAGTTGTGTCGCAAGTCCGGGAATGCACTATGCCGAAAGCCAACTAATGTAGCGCGTGCTTAGAAACAGATCAACTAAAGGGGTCGTGACATTAGAGTGACTGATGTAGGGATATGTTTGAAGGTAACATCAAGTTTAAGAAATATGATACTTACGTAAATATGTAACGTAATCGGAGCTGATATTTTAATAAATAACTATCCATACTAATCATCCTGGAATTGCATTAATTTATTTATTTATTTAGTTGTTGATGTTTCTGCGTTTAAAAATTATGTGTCTTTTATACGTTTCCAATATACATGGTCAATCACTATGCATTCATATTTTGTTATATTTAGCTATAGTCTTCGCAATACAATCTCACATATCGTCTCTGATTTCCGTGTATGTAAAAAAACGTACTTTTATTACAGTGTTGTGCAAAGATAAATAAAAGATTATGTGCACTGTATCTTTTAACAAATTTCAGTTGTTATATAAATTGGTTTATAATTTCCGCCAGGTAAACTAAACCTCTTGTTCCGTGTCTAAATACACGCGCAAGTGATAAAACATAACTCTTTCTACATCAACGTTTGTTTCCACGTGCATATAGATCTGAATAAGATCTTAATCTGATGTGCTTATTGAGAACAACACATAAACAAGTGTTTGCTTCTGAGTGGATACAAAGAGAGATGCAAATATGTGTATGGTTATGTAAGGACAGTCCATAGGATGTGTATATACGTACTTCGAGGAAGGATAAATTCCATTGGCGAAATAATACTAAACAATGTACTTTTTAGGAAGAACCCAATTTCACAAATACATAGAAGTTGCATGTCGATGCATAGACAGATTAGTATTAGTTTGATTTAAAGGAATGCGATTAAATGTATGCTTTGTGTGACGCAATATAGACGTAATCGATCATGAACATGACTCGATGTGAAAATCATTCTCGATGACTTTCTGTGTAATGTTGCATAAACTGTTTAATCTAATAAACACACAGCACAAACACCGGGTTGGCTTGAATCTGATAATACCAGAGTATTTGTGAGGTTGAAAGGGCCATGGAAACATATTAATTTAGTGAAGAATAACACGGCTTGTAAGCAGACTCTCCTTTGTGCCAGGAATCCACACAACAGTATTGCCCTCCAGCAAAACAATCTATGATTGGATCAAGCTGTGTAGCGAGTATGAGATGAGAGATTTTAGACTCTGTACAAAATTCGGGTCGCTACTTTTTGTACGCTGAATATAACAATGTCGGTTAATTGAAAACAATTACGATCAAAAAAGGTAACGGATCTTAGTTCCAGCATCATGTCATTCAACTTATTCCTATAGAGGGCTCCGTATAACTATGGTTGATACTTTTGTTTTGCTTACAATGTGCACATTGAAGATTTTATTTCGATATAAACGAGTAGATATTTTTAATAGATAGTATGAACGCATGATGTAACTTCAACATAGTGTACATTTCTATAACTTATACTACAAACTAACAGATTCTATTGAAGTATATACTATATATAACAATGGTTTTATGGTGTGTTAACTTGTATTTGAATTTAGATACACATGTTTTAAAACTCAGTTTTGATTGTTGCGTGTTATTTTTTATTGTGACGCACAATTCGACTAAAAAATATTTTGTGATAGTATTACATTACTTTATATTTGTAATGAGAATTGTAAATAAATAAATGACGTAAACACGAATTGCTTTTCCAATTTTCCGATCTACCCAGTGTTGTATTTCAGTTGAATTAATGAAATTTCGCGCAATCTAACAATATCTCTCTAAAATTATATACCACAATGCTTAGAAGGCGGCATGGTTGTTTTTATCACATTGCACAGCTCATGGATACTCTTCAAAGTAATGTATGAATTAAATGACAACGTTGATTGTCGCTCCGACAGAAAAGACCAGGTGCATTCCGGAAAGAAAATGTGTTACATGCTTTTCTTAAAA